TGCCTCTCCACCTCTCTCCCTTCAGCTTCTCGGTGCTTTTCGGGGGGCATGGTGGTCCCCTTCTTCCTTTTGGGGCAAAAAACGTGGTGTCTGAGCGCCTTCTGAAACACTGCTTGGCGTTTCTGGGGGAATATTCTAATTCTGTGACTTTTCTTCCTTCTTTTTCTTTCCTTTCCCCTCTCTCTGTTCTTCCCACCTCTCACTCCGGCAGCTCCGTAAGCTCATTAGCGATTTCTCTATCTTTATGTCCATACTAATGTTTGTGGGGCTGGATGTGCTTTTCGGACTGAACACCCCAAAGCTCCAAGTGCCTACTGACTTTAAGGTAAAAAGCAATAAATCCCTTTCTGGAAGTGTGGCTGAAAACATCTCTTCCCCATCGGTGGTGTGGGAAAGCTGTGCGAGGGCAGCTCGGTCCAAATGAGTATCTGGGGAGTATTTGGGACTGCAACACGTGGCTATAGGGGTGGATGAACGTGGGATAAAGTGATGCTCACAAGGAATGGGGTGTGAGGTGATGTGGGGCTTGCCAAAATTTCCAAGTTTAGGATTCTTCACGGCTGTGGCATGCAAACTGCTCTCTCCCTCCAGCCCACGCGTGTGGACCGAGGGTGGTTTGTCTTTCCCTTTGGGAAGAACCCATGGTGGGTGTACCTGGCCAGCGCGCTGCCTGCCCTGCTTGTCACCATCCTCATCTTCATGGACCAGCAGATCACAGCCGTCATCGTCAACAGGAAGGAGCACAAGCTGCGGGTGAGTCGGGATGCACCCTCACGTGGGATCGTGGAATCATGGAATTTGGGTTGGAAGGGACCCCTTAGGGGTCATCTGGTCCAACTCTCCTGCAATGAACAGATCCATCAGTGCTCAGAGCCCTGTCCAGGGTCATAGAGCAATAGAATGTCTTTGGTTGGAAGGGACCTCAAAGATCATTTGGCTCCAACCCTCCTGCCTAGTGCAAGGTTCCCAACCGCTAAATCAGGCACCAGGTCAGTCTGCCCACAGCCCTGTACAACATGGAATAGGTCATCACCACTCTGGGCAGCAGTGCCATGGCCTCAATGTCCTCTCGGTGAAAAATTTCCCCCTGATATCTAATCTAAACCTCCCCTCTTGCACTTGACCGTACTGAACCTCATCAAGTTCCCGTGGGCCAATTTCTCAAGCCTGACCAGCTCCACGAGGATGTCATTCCTCCCTTTTATTGTGTCAGCTGCACCCACTCAGATTGGTGTCATCTCCAAACCTGCTGACGGTGCACTCAATCTCACTGTCAGTGTCACTGATGAAGATGTGAAAGAGCTCCAGTCCAAAGAAGGGTGCTCAATGCAGGGGTAATGCAGGGCACTTCATGGGCTGCAGAGTGCAGAGTGCCAGGGGAAATCTCTGCCTTGCTGGGCCCTGTGGTGTACAGAGGGACCTCCCCCCACCTCCCTGTGACCCCCTGCACTGTGTTGCAGAAAGCAGCAGGCTACCACCTGGACCTCTTCTGGGTGGGCATCCTCATGGCAGTGTGCTCCTTCATGGGGCTGCCCTGGTACGTGGCAGCCACCGTCATCTCCATCGCCCACATCGACAGCTTGAAGATGGAGACAGAGACCAGCGCTCCGGGCGAGCAGCCCCAGTTCCTGGGGGTCAGGTGAGGGGAGCTCAGCCGTGCTCTGCCCCAGTGTTATGGGAACCCATCGGCACAGCCTCACCCCCCTCTTTCCCCACCCCAGGGAGCAGAGGGTGACAGGCATCATCGTCTTCGTGCTCACAGGGATTTCTGTCTTCCTGGCCCCGATTCTGAAGGTAAAACACCCCCACTGCCTCATCCTGCTCTGCAGGTGGTTGGGGTGGGTTTTTTTCCCCCCGATTCGTCCCCCGGCATTTGTCCCCCTCCCCAGGAATGAGCTGCCACCTTCCCTGGGGTAAGGGCCGTGTTTTTCCATGTCCCCAGTACATCCCCATGCCGGTGCTGTACGGTGTCTTTCTGTACATGGGCGTCGCGTCGCTGAATGGCATCCAGGTGAGCACTCCTCCTCTCCTGCCACAAAAGGGCCCAGCACTCGAGCAGAAATCAGAGAATCACAGAATCATCATGGTTGGAAGATCCCCAACCCATCCCAGCATCCCCACTGACCACATCCCTCACTGCCACATCTCCACGGTTCTGGAACACCTCCAAGGATGGTGACCCCACCACTACCCTGGGCAGCTGTGCCAGTGCCCTGCCAGTCTTTTGGAGAAATTTGTCCTCATATCCAACCTGAACCTCCCCTGGCATAACTTAAGGCCATCACCTCTCTTCCTAATGCTGTTACTTGGGAGCAGAGTCCAACTCCTTCCTCTCTACACCTCCTCAAAGATGAGGATTTTGGACCCCAGGGCTTTTCCATCCCCAGCATTTCCAGCCACGTGGGGCAGCAATTTTCCAAACCCCTCTGTGAAACATCACAGAGCTCCAGCTGCCCCATTTATGGTACAAGAAGAAGGTTTCTCCGGGCAACTGGGAGCCTGCATGGGGGGCTGATGGCTCACATCAGCCTTCATCCCACCCCAGTTCTGGGACCGCTGCAAGCTCTTCCTCATGCCAGCCAAGCACCAGCCTGACTACGTCTTCCTGCGGCACGTTCCGCTGCGCCGCATCCACCTCTTCACGCTGGTGCAGATCGTCTGCCTGGCCGTGCTCTGGATCCTCAAATCCACCGTGGCTGCCATCATCTTCCCTGTCATGGTAAGGCTCAGCACTGCTGCGTTCCCCAGGCGGTTTTTGCTCGTGTTCTATTGCAAAAAAAAAACAACCAGGCTGACTTTCTGATTTCCCATGTGCATCGCCCTTATTGCAGCCTTGCCTGCAAGATGTTGGGGTTGAAGGAAATCTCAGCAAGTGGTGGCCCCCAGTCCTCACTCTCCCATCCCTTCCTCTCAGATTTTAGCCCTGATCCTGGTGCGGCGACTACTGGACTTTGTCTTCTCCCAGCATGACCTGGCCTGGATTGACAACATCATCCCTGAGAAAGAGAAGAAGAAGGAAGATGACAAGAAGAAGAAGAAAAAGGGCAACAAAGGGGACAGCAGCAGTGATGAGGAGGTGTGCAGCTGAGGGGGCGGGGGGGAAGGTTGGGACAGCACAGGCACCATGGGGAGGGGGAAGGTCCCACTGAAACCCCCAGGGCTGCAGTTTGGGGAGAGGGTCTTTGGGTTTAAAAGGGCAGATGAGTGCAATTTGGGCCACATCTCGTTCCAAAAGCATCCTGGCACACTGCTAGGCTCAGCTGGGACAGAGGGGAGTGGGTTTCTAGGGGGTCTCCTTTCTCAGCTGGGAGTGTTTCACCTCCATGTCCTTCCCAGGAAAGAGGTCCCCCACCTGGAGCTCTGCGTTCTGACTCCTCCCCCAATGGTTCTGACATGGATCGCAGGTGAGCAGCACCCACAGCTCCAATGCTCACCTCATATTGCCCCATCCTGAGAGGTCCCCCATCCACAGCATGAAACATTTCCAGGTCCAGCAGCCAATGCTTCCCACTGAGCATCACTTTTGCCATTACCTTGAGCCAGTTCCCATCAGTCTCTGGGCAATTCTGAAATGCTGAAGTATATTTTCACAGCATCCTTTGTGACTTTTTGACTATTTTTTCCCAGTAGTAGCAACATCTGGAGCCCTTCCGTGGGGGAGTTCTGGGCTGTTTGGGGAGCAGGTGGGCACTGTGCTCACCTCCACGTCCCCCTCCTCCTCCTCCTCTGCAGCATTACACTCCACCTGAAGATTTCATGCCCATCATCTCCTGCATTTAATTACTCCCGAAGCCCCATCTGTGCTGTGCCCCAGGTGAAGATAGAGATGGAGTCAGACTATGAGGACACCGACACCGAAAAGCCACCGCGGGACATGGGCAGTGAGACCACGCTATAGTTCCCTGCAGTGCTTCCTCTAATTTATATATATATATAGATATTTATATATTCATATATATATATAAAGCAAATTGGACATATTTTTCTACATGAGACTGAGGAGAGCGTTGGCCCCCAAGGCTGCTGCTCCCGTAGTTCTTAGCGCTGTCACATTTCCTCCCTTTCTGTTGGGCGAAGGCAACCGGCGCTGATGGCAAAACGGGGCTGAAAATGTGGAAATGAGCATTTTTGGCCTCTGAACCACTGCTGGGCTGGAGAAACCAAAGGCAGCTGGCGGTAGTGCTGGGAAATGTCCCAGCCATCCCATCAGGGTCCTTCTGCTGTAGTAGGAGGGTTCTCCTGCCCGGGGGGCTCAGCACGGAGGCATAGCAGGGGATGAGGATGCATTGGAGGCTGAGCACTGGCAGGAGGAGGGAAAGCTCAGGAGCTGGAGTGCCTGAGGTGGGTGTGTGCATGGGAGCAGCAGTAAGGAACAGAGCTTGATCACTGCTGCAGAGAACTGGGAATGGTTTCCATAAGGAATTGGGCAGTAGAGCTGAGCACAGCCATTCCTGACCCCATGTCACTGCCCCCAGCAAAGCGCAGCTTTCCCAGGGCCAAAGTAGGACCTGCAGTACTGGGTCCCAAAATCCCAGCCAGTAACTGGGCAGGAGCCCTATTGCTGCACCCAGCCAGGACCTGGCACGCCAGGCCTTTCCTGCACCTTTTCCTTGCCCCATACACACCAAGGAGCCTCCCAGCTCCTGGACAAGGGAGTCTGCACCTTCTTGAGCTCCTCCACCCCCATTACACACACACACAGTTTAACAGCAAACATCCCCCCACGTAACCCCAGGATGGGGCTTTTTCTGGCTCTATTCTAAGGCTGCAAAAAGCCCTCCTTCTTTCCCCAGGCAGAAACAGCCTACCTGGTATTTATAGGAGCTCTGTGCTCATGCCAGCCAGCAGTTCCTGGGACACTGACTAAATATTGCACCTGGTCTGAACCTCTGCATGGGACAGCCCAGTTCTTTGTAAATAGTCAAGTCAAACAGGACTTGAATGCAGTTTCATGTTTATAGCAGTCTTTTTCTGGATCAAGAACACCCATGGAGCCACGGTGAGCTTAATAAGACAGCATTACTCCAGTCACCACTTTAGCTTGACGTTAACATTAAGAGCTATTTCAGCTTGGGTGCACTGTGTCTATTTTTTAGTATTTTGTACCAATCTCATGTGTGGTAGCTGAAGCATGGCACAGGTAGGTTTCTGCTTGCAATCACTCCACCATGGTTAATTTGCTTTATCCACTATGTCAGCTCTACTACACAGCAGCCCTGGAAAGGCTTCATGGACTCTGGGGGCTGTTCCATAGGGCACAGCTGAAGCCTCAGCTCAGATCCTTCTAGAACACAGCTTGTTTCGATTTCTCCATTTTGCAGGTCTCACACATGGTTTATACTTTTTGTATATGAAATACTGGAGCATCACAGATTTGCCAGCCCCGTTACAGTACTACTTTTAGCCATTTTGTATTTACCAGTGATACGATCCAATAAATCTCACTTAAATTAGCCTCAGCTCTCACTGTGTTTCTGGTGCAGCCTCAGCTTCCCTTTCCAGGTGCTCCCTGGTTAGCATTTGTATAAGCATCCTCCCTTCTAGAGAAGAGCAACTAGAGGTGACTTTGCAGGTGGCTGCAGCTCTTGCACAGCAACAGACCTTCAGCTCTACAGCAAAGCTTCCCTGTACACAGAAACATGGAATCAGTCTTCCCAAGGATGAATGACCACAGGTGAGGGTAACTTTAAAGAGAAAATAATTAGGACTTGGTTTGCTCTTCCACTATCAGCTGCTGCTGTCTCAATCCAGAGCCATAGTGCAGTTGCATTTTGGTCAAACTCATAGAGAAAGGTTGAGCCATCCCTGCTCTGAGAGCACAGGGAGCTCATAGTACAAGTGTGGTAACTTGTCAGGGAAGTACAGAACTTGCTGAGCAGTAATTCCAGGAATCAAGCAGCATTCCCCCATTTCTACTTCATTCAGAGTCTGCCCCACTCCATCCTTCCTCCCTTTATGCTATAGTCCAGGAAGCTTTCCACATAGCCAATACAGACACCAACAGCCTTCCATCGTTCTTTGGTTGAAGAAAAAGTTTTAAAAAGTCACCATACAAACAGGAAAAAACAAACAAACAAAAAGCTTAGCTGCACACTATGAACATGGTACATCAGCTCTACCACTGCCCAGAGCCCCATCCGGGCTGAGAACATGGCTTTTTCCAGTTGCTGCTTCCACAGAAGAGCTCAGCTCCAATTGAACACCCATCACAGAGTTAAACGCTTCAGAGCAAAGCCTGAGCTGACTGAGCATTTGTGAGAACAAAACCATGAAGGCCATTCTTTTTTGCACTGTGGAGCACACTCCACTCCACTCCCCCCAGGACTGCTATCACTGCAGCAAGCTCTGCACACCCAGAGGGTTTCCACTGCTGCTCAGTCCCTGCAAGAACAGCAGTCTGCAAGGCTGGCTCCTTTAGAGAAGTGCTGGTTTAAAAAGCAGCTGTGCTAGGAGGCCAGGAGTGTAGATGCATATGCCTTATTACAGCTAATATGCATATGCTTCAGCTTCAAATAAATATCTATGACCTCAGAATAGTAAATACCACCTCTGTACAATAAATAAAGTATTGCATTTTCTATCGGCCTGTCTAGGAGTCATCTTGGAATGTTGTTTTCAGAGCTAAAAAGAGAGTCCTGTGTTAAGCAGTTAAGGCTTCCAGTGCTTTGGGTTTCAACAGCTTTTTGGCAGCAATGATGGTGTTCTTCATCAGCATGGCAACTGTCATGGGCCCAACTCCCCCAGGGACAGGAGTGATGTAACTGGCTTTCTTCTTCACCCCTGCAGGAAGGACAGAGAGAGTTCACCATGCAAGTCAAGGGCAGTAAGGTTTATCAAGCCAGCTGGTCAGCACGAAACTGTAACCAACCTAATGGTGTTGAATTCCTTTATGACTATTAGTTAAAATAGTCATTTATATTAGTCTTTCAATTTAGATATATTAGTCTTTTAATTTAGATGTTTGCCCCCTTTGGCCAGGGCAGCACCACATTCTGACCATCCCCAAACTCACATCAGAGCCTAAGCTGGGGAAAAAGCAAGGTCTAATTAGCCAGATTTGTACAACACATATTGAGTATGAGAACAGATTCAGGCCTGATGCATGCTCTTGAGAAGAGTTCCAATGAAGTAACAGTGAGCTTTCGCTCACTTTCTTGCAGGAGAAGGTTCCAGTACTTTTTGCTGGACACATGGACATGTGGGGCCTGCTTGGGGACTGTTGCAGCTAAGTGGTGAGCAAGGCCAGGAAACAGCAAGCCAAAAGGGAAGCTCTGCATGCTTTTGGTTTGCTTGGGGGGCAGAGTTTAAAAGCAGGAGTCTGGGTTATAAACTGGAGTAGAGGCAAAGCATCCCAGCTGCCTTAGATTCAGAGTCAGTCTCCTCTACATGTTCCTGTGGCATATTACAGGAAAGCTGCTCCCTTGTAAAACTGAATGCAATAGAAAGAGAGCTTCAGGATTGGTATGCATCTGCTCCACTGCATGAACCAGGACTTTCTCCCCACTTCTCAGCTAGATGTTTAGATGTTTAATGCTCAGAAGTATGAGATGCCAGAACCATTTTTTTTTTTTTTACCTTCAAAATCCACATCCCCAACCAGCCTTGATTTGGCAGTGATAGGATCCTGTACTCTAGTTATCCCCACATCGATAACTGCAGCTCCTTCTTTGATCATATCAGCTGTGATCAGATTAGGAATACCTGCAAGAGAACAGACACATAAGCTCATAGTGGTGCTAAGCAGCTCCCTGTCCCCCATCACCCCCATCTTCTCGCTGCACAGCCCAGTATGTTTTGACCCACCTGGGCTTTTTCCTGCCTCACCAATGCATTTGTCACAGACACATGATCCAGAACTGCTCCTTGAGATGTTCAGCTCACCCAGAAAGCAGGGGTTTGAGTGATTTATTTATAACCTCAGAATAAAAAGAACTGGAATCTACCTCCAGAAAGAGGTCTGGCAAAGAAGCTGCAGCCAAGATGCTCTCCAATTTGCAATCTTAATGTCTATGGCTACACAGTGCTGCCTTCACCACTGACACCACTTCTAATCCCACTCATAACATATGTCTCCTTATGCCCAATTTCTAACCCACATTTCTCCCTCACCAAGTTTCTGTTGCCAGGCAAGGACACCCCAAATCAACTCAATTCTTCTGCTAATGAGCTATCCCCATGCCAAAGGCACTGCCCTGAGAAGAGCACGTGTACATGTGGACCTCTTGTGCTCTGAAGGGGGTACTGCAGATGTCCTTCAGCATTTTCAACATCTCTTGTAAGTAGATGCTGTCTCAGTATTTTTCTCTCCCCATAAGCACAGAATGTCTGTACACAGAGGCTGTATAACAGGCTGTTAGCTGTTCTCTAGGTCTGATCAGGTGCTTGGGAGGACACTAAGTCCTCCTGCCAGGTGTCATTTTGCATTTCCAAGAGCTACAAATAGTTCTATTAGTCTGTCCTAGGCTTTATCACAGGATTAACTGCCTGTTTTAAACAGCCCACCCTTGCCTGCAGCAGTTGCAAGCAGTTATAAGGGTGTCAGATTGTCCTATATTGCCAGAGCTGCTTCAGGCAGGGAGGCCTTGGGACACATACCAACAGGACTATCTCCTACAAGGAGAGATTCCCTTCAGAAACATCACACAAGCTGCACTGCCTCTGGGCACATCACCTGCACTGGCAGTTCAGTCTTACCTGCTGCTGCTACCACGATGTCAGCACGGATCGTGTGCTGCTTCAGCTGCTCCTTGGGAGTATAGCGGTGTGATATTGTGACTGTGGCATCACCTGCAACAGGGGTTACACAAAGCATTTTACTCACATGTATGGCAACTTCTCTAACCCTCCACCTTCACCTGGAAAAGTACCAGAAATACAAGAGCTTGATGACAAACCACTAGGAGCTGCCTACAAAGTCAGCACCTCCTGTGGACCTTTCCACTTCAGCTGAAAAGGGATGTCAGACTGAAATCTGACAAGAAGCACAGAACCCATGCCTGGTAAAGAAGGACTAACTGATGAGGGCTCTGAAGTGATTGCCTGTGTGCAGAGTTAACTCCCCAGCCTCCACCACAACACATGAGGTATGTTAGAGCCCCCAGAGCAGGCCTGGGGCTGGTTTAAGAGCCCAGCAAGGACTGTGAGACAGGCAGAGGGCTTCCTCCCACAGCTGCCTGGTACACAGGCTCTGAGACCAACAAGCTCCTACCTCCTGGACGCTCGTGCCTGCCATCTGTGTGCAGCAACATGGCAATGGGCATCCCCACATTCTTCGACCGGCCAGCCACCACCACGTTCTTCCCCAATGTTGGGATGCCTGAAGTAGACAAAACAGAGTCTTAAGACAAATACAAACTGGAGCTGGACCAAAAAGCAGCCAAATATTGCAGCTTACCTGTTCTCTTTATGATCTCCCACACCCCCCACGGGGTGGCTGGCAGCATGGAGTACTGGTCAAGGCACATGCGCCCCACGTTTATCACATGAAAGCCATCAACATCTTTGTCTGGAGTCACAGCATTGCAAATCTTCCGCTCATCAATGTGTTCTGGAAAAGAGAAAGAAAAAAAAACAACAAAGGATCAGCCAAAAAACCTGATCTGCTGCACCAGTCCCTCAGAATCATCACAGTTTGGGGGCTTGAAGCTATTCCAAGCTTCTAGCAAGCTCAAGGCTAACAGCTCCCAGCAGAAGGGGACTGGGACCACGTGGGGACTACACTGCTGCTAATGGAGCATGGATATTTTTAGACAGCTGCAGTTTTACAGCCAAGTTTAAGCTCCTGGTGCATGAAGCTGATACCACCAACACAAGATTAGATTTCCACTGCCCCCAGCAACGTACAGGCAGCTGTATGATGGAGCAGTGTTATCTTTAAGCTTGCACTGTGGCACAGTGCCACTTATGTCACAGGAGGACTCCCGAGCTACAACTCCTTCTGGCACATAAACTCATAACAGCTTAACACAAAAAATAAAGCAGATTGAGACCGAGCTACTCACCAGGTAAAGGAAGCTGCACTAACAGGCCATCCACGTTGGCATCATTATTTAATTTGCTGATCAAATCCAGTAGCTCCTCCTCAGTAATTGAAGCAGGCTTGAGGATTGTCTCACTGCTGATTCCTGTGCAAAGTGCTGCATTAGAGAGTGGCACATACACAAGTGGGACAGCAGCTTCCCTAATCCATGCTAATTTGAGCTGCCTGGTTTGAATTCTACACAAAATCTGATATGGGCACATCAAGGATCGTATGCTTCATGCAACAGTGGCTGCCTTCCAGGCTGCAGACCTTCACACATCTTGCAAGTCATGATTTAAGACCATTTGCCTGCCTGTGCAGCCATCCCTAGGAAAGACTAGTTGAAAGCAAACATCCTCCAAGAGTGGGGAGGGCGTGGAGGAACCACACAGGAACACGCTATGATGCAAATGCAATTGCACCTCCTGGACCTTTTCACTTCAGCTGGAAAGGGATGTCAGACTGAAATCTCAGCTCCAAAGAAGGTTTTAGCAGCACGGAACCCAGCATGGAATTAAACCACTGTGTGTCCCAGACCTTTCTCAATACATTTTCTCCAGAAATACACTTGGGAAACCAAGTAGGATCTCAGCTCACAAGACTGAAAGTGTCACAGCACAACATGACTGCACTGCATGATGAACACATCTCGAACAGTCGATTAAAAGAAGGCAAATCAAAGCCCTGCTGGTGCTTTACATAGGCCCACCAAGGCCACAAATCCAAGCTGCAGAGCCTGACGTTCCCTGGAGGATTCAAGCAGCATAATGCACATGTGAGCTGTGCCTACTCACTGCATAGCAGTGCTACCAGAAAGGCAACCAATGCAGACAGCACAAACTCTGCATTAAGCCCATGCAGCTGAGGCAAAAAAGCTACTGGGTGGATGCACCCTAAATGCTCCCCCAGTATCCAGCAGAGGACTCCCAGCAAAAGCCAACAAGCAGCATTTTGTCTGAGTTTTTCTGCTCCAGTTTTTCAGAGCAGAGCACAAGACTTACCCACATCAGCAGCCGCTTTGGTTTTGTTCAGCACATAGGAGTGACTTGCAGGATTTTCACCAACCAGAACCACGCTGAGGTGAGGTCTCTTGTTCCCAGCTGCTACCCACTGTTCAACTTCATGCCGGGCTTCTTGTCTGATCTGCCGGGCCAGCTTCCTTCCAGAAATCACAACAGCATCATCTCTGCAGTATGAGAAGTATCACCATAGCAGTGTTAGGGCCAACAAATCCAAGCTTTGCACAACATGAGCACAGCAAACAGGCACGAAATGGGGCAGAAGCAGTTCTTTCATCTGAGCTCAGTACAAGCCTTCACCTGTAAACCTGTTTTCTTTTTCTGCCCGTTACGTTAAGCAGTACATTCCAGTCTGCAGCCTCACTGCTGGAGGAGGAACAGAGCAATTCCTGCAGCCTGAAGAAGCACTCAATGAGTTCAGGAGCCCACATGTGTGTTGTTGGCACATGTGCCACACTGTCAGCTTCCCTTTGGGGCAGTCGGCCTCCCTCCCCTTTCTAAAGGACGACAGCTTTGCTCTGCGAGGCAAAACTCATCCCGTGTAAGTGGAATTTGCACTGCTGGAAGTGCTGAACAATTCCAGCTCACCCCGAGGCTGCAGGAGGCACAGCTGCCGTGCACAGCCATCCCCCAGCAGCATCCCAGAAAGGCGTCAGTCCTCCAAGCACAGTCTGAGCTCCAGCCTCCCTGCTTTGCCCATCTCTGCAGGGTGACAAAGCCTGATAGGGGATATAGGATTTCAATCCCATCGAAGGATCCCAACGCTCAGCTGGAGCGGAGGGGGGTATCCGCCCATCTGAAACGTGTCACGGCAGCTCCTCGCCTGCATTTCTGATCTAAATCGGTAACAGAGGTTCTGCCAAACGCATTCCAGGCAATCGGACACGCTGCGCGCACGGAGCCGCTCACGTTCGCTCCCCTTTCGGGTTCTGACGATCGCTCGCATCTCAGCGCCCGTCTCATCAAAGAATCCCTCCCGGAGGGTTTCACCTTCGCCAGATTCACCTGCGGACTTCTCCGCAGCACCGCCCCGCCTTTCCGTACGGCCGGTGTTCAGCCCTCAGCCCCGCCGTTCTGCCCCATCTCAGAGCCGCTGCCCCACAGCCCCGTTAGCGGTGCCGCCCCCCGGCGCTGGAGCAACCTGCGAGCAAAGCGCATCGCAACGACACGGCGCGGCGGCTCAGCGGTCAGGCATCGCTTGGAGAACAGCCCCGTGGTTTTCCGACCCCAGCTCCGGTTCCGACCCCCGCACCTCTCACCCCCCCCGGCACCACGCAAGGCGGCAGCGGGATTTCATCAGCCTGCAGCGCGCGGTGCGGCCGCTGGGGGTCCGCTCCATTCATTCCGAGGGTAGCGGAGCCGCGAGCCGGGCCGGGCCCTACCTGGGTGCGCTGAGGTGCAGGCAGCGTGCGCGGGGCCGGAGAGCGGTCCGGCTGAGGGCGCGGAGCGGGCAGAGCGCGGTTGCCATGGCGGCAGCGAGACAACGAGAACAGAGAACACGCGACAGCAATTACGCGCCGCGCCGCTCCGCCGACCGCTTATATAGCATCCGGGATCCGCCCCCTGATGGCAGCGGGAGCCAATCGGAACGGCAAGCGGCGCGGGGCTGAACTGTAAGTGGCGGAGGAGAGGAAGAGGGCGGGGCGGAAGGGAGAGTAGGTTGAGGAAGGGGGCGGGGCTTCCCGCCGTAATTGGGCACGGCTGCGCCCATTGGCTGGGCCTGGCGAGCATGAGAGGCCGCGGGAGGAAAGGGCGGGGCGAGGTTACACTTGTTGCCATGGCGATAGTGCCGCTTGAGGCCACGCCCCCTGGTCCGGCTCTCGCGAGAGCTGGCGGCTGGGGCGGGAGCTGCGGCTGCCGGCGGCACTGTGCCTCGGGCCGCGCCGCTCCGCCATGAGCTTCCTCTTGTGAGTGGCTGGGGGTCGCGGTGCCGAGGGGGGGAAGCCGGGGTGCTGAGGGCAGAGGCCTCGCGTCACGGCTGGCTGCGGGTCAGGAGGGCTTTGGGGAGGCCCTGTGTGAGGGTTGCGAGGAGAGGCGCGGCCTTCTGGGCTCGGTCCGTTAGGGGAGGCCTGAGGGCGTCCTGTGGGACCTGGTGAGGGGCTGAGGGGGGGATGCAGGGCTGGGGGGCTGAGGGGGAGGAAGAGCTGGGGACCTGCAGAGGGGCTGGGGGTTTCATCTGTTGTGGGGCGGTGCTGGGGGAAGGCCTTGGGAAGATGGAGGGTAAATAACTACAGGACAAGGGGAAATAGTTTGAAGTTGAGGGAGGGCAGATTGAGGTTGGATGTCAGGGGGAAGTTGTTTGCTATGAGAGTGGTGAGGTGCTGGAACAGCTGCCCAGAGAGGCTGTGGATGCCCCGTCCGTCCCTGGAGGTGTTCAGGGCCAAGTTGGATGGCAGCCTGGGCTGCTGTGAAATGTGGAGGTTGGTGGCCCTGCGTGTGGCAGGGGGTTGGAGATCTGTGATCCTTGAGGTCCCTTCCAACCCTGGCCATTCTATGATTCTGGGGGGGCTCATCCCTTCGGGTTCAGGGTGCTGAGGGGGAGGCGGAGGGGAGAAAGAGGAGGAGGCCTTTGTGCTGTGTGTGTGGGGCTCCCAGCTGGATGGAAGGGGGCCTCCTGTGGGGGTGCCCAGCTGTGGTGTGCAGGGAGTGCCCTCAGGGCAGGTGGGTTTGGCTTAGCTGCAGTGGGAATGGCACTGGTTTGGCTGTCTGCTGTTAGAGTGCATCTGTAACCAGCTGTATGGATGGGCTGTTATGTACCTGTGTGGTAGATGTGAACACTCGTGCAATTCTAGCCCTTAAAGGTATCAGAAGGAGCAGCGACATCTTGAGGTGTGAGAAGGGGCTGGGGAGCCTCATTCTGTTGTCGGTGATGTGTTGGGACCCTCTGTCCAGTATTAGCACTGTTTGGGCCCTGTGTTCCCTCCTGCAGTACAGCAGGCGGCGGTGGCTGGGCTGAAGAGCGAGTTGGATCGAAGGATCTTTTATTCCCACTGCACGTAAACAGTGTGCAAAGCCAGCGGGCTGTGCTGTAGTGCTGCATCAGGAAGCTGAAGCCAGATGTGTGCAGGCTGAGCGCATCCGGCTGTGTGCAATGGGGGGGGAGGAGGTGGGCAGCAAGCCAGCAGTGCCAGGAAATGCGTGTAACCCCCAGCGGTGCTTTGGCTCTCACAACCCCACATCAGAGCCAGCACAGAGCGTGGTGACTGTGAGCTGTGTGAGTTGGGAGTCCGAAAGTTAATGTTTTGTGGTTTGGAGGCATTAAAATGCCGTCATCTCTTGGCAGCGTTGGTTTTTGTGCGTGGGTATAAAGCCAATAATGAGCTCTGACACTGGTATTCCTCTGAGTGCTGCCTTGCCCTGTTACAGGGCTGTGGAATAATGCAGTTGTATGACAACACGGGATGGTTAAAGCTGCAATAAAGATGTGTCTTTTAGGGCTGGAGGGGGTTAAGCTGCTATCCTCCGCAGATTGTTTCCTATACCATGTGCCTTCGCCCTGTTAAGTCAACCCAGTCAGCCAGTAGTTTTGCTCCTTGGTGGAGTTATGTTGGCTTGTCTGCAGTGTGACTGAATGCAGCCATCACTGGTCTGTCTTTGGGCCTTTGCACCAAATGCTCCTTGTGATTTGAAAAGGGAAGCGTGCTAATGGCTGTCAGAAATGCTCACACATAGGGTCTGTTCACCTTGATGGTGGAGAAAAAAAGGTCTGGTGTCACCACAGCTGGACCTGCCAAGTAGCAAAGAGCAATGGGTGATGCTGTAGTGGGAGGGAAATGCTTCTGAGAAGGGATTGCTGCTGAAGGACTCACTGCAAGTGTTTCTCTTTGTTTTCTCAGTGGGAGTCGATCTTCGAAAACATTCAAACCCAAGAAGAATATTCCTGAAGGCTCCCATCAATATGAGCTCCTGAAACATGCAGAAGCCACTCTTGGGAGTGGTAACCTCAGGCAAGCAGTTATGCTGCCGGAGGGAGAGGACCTTAATGAGTGGATTGCAGTTAACAGTAAGTCTGGGAGACAGAGATCCACCAGTGTGTGGAAGTGGAGTGGAACGATACAAATCTCTGCTTTTCATCCTTAAAAGAAACAAACAGAAAATCTCCTGAAATGAAATTCCTATCCCAGCTGTATTCTGTTTAACTGAGTAAGGATAAAGGGGCAGTAAGTGTTAGGACATGCTGACCACTTGTGTGTCAGAGCAGTGTTGTGCTCTGGAAATAGCACAAAGTGAGAAGCAGATACATGCAGTCGTTGTTTCAGAGTGCATTTTCTTTGAGTTCAGACTTCTAAAGGCAATTAGATTTGTGAGTGGTTATTTTTGGAACTGGGAGTAAGACCTGAGGACTGACATTTGGAATTAAGGTGTCTGGAACCTAAAGCAGTTATTTACAAGTTGCAGTTGGAATCATCTTGATGTGTTTCCATTCCAGCGGTGGATTTCTTCAACCAAATCAATATGCTGTATGGGACCATCACGGAGTTTTGCACAGAGGCAAGCTGTCCAGTCATGTCTGCTGGACCAAGGTAAGAAGTTTGTGGTGGTCTACAGCTGCAGTTTGTGTTGGGGAAATGGCTGGATGGTTTCTGAAGCATGTGTCCAAAAGCTGAAGAGGATGGGATGTATCTCGATGGGGTTTGGGTACAGCATTGTGCTCCTGCAGTCACTCACCTGTGTCTGAAGCCCTGTGGGCTGTTAGGGAGGCTTTGTGGTACCAGGAACAGATTAATTTGAAGGAAAATGGAGAGATTTACCCTGACATGGAAGTGCCAGATCTTGCTGTCTGTTGTGTCTCAGTCTGACCATTGTGTGCATGCAGTCTGACCGCTGAGTGCGTGCAGTTCTAAAACCACGGCTGCTAATGGGACAGGATGTGAGAGAAAAGGAACCCAGCAGGTGCTGAGATCAGATTGCTGAAGAGAGCAGGGGATTTGTAGGAGAAGGCTGAGGCACCATGGAAGGAGAAAACAAAGCAGGGCATGGAAGCTGGTTGGGGAGCAGTATTTGCAGTGCTGTATAAAATCCTGCCCTGCTTTTCTAACCAGAAGTATCTAGATTGCGAGTTCCTGTTTCTATATCTGGGGATGCTTCCTGTAAGGACTTCCTGTTTGAAGTGCACTGTTCATTTTTACTTGTTGGTTGTTGAGAAACAACAACCGAAACATAATTTTCTCCCCCTCTCTGTAGCGATTGTACAAAAGATTGCTGAGGAAGTTCCTTGCTGCATGGTGTTCTCGTAGACATCTGTGCCAGTTCTGGGGAGCTGTGAGACTGATAAGCACATGTCACATTGAGAGGGTGGTTTTCAGAAGGCTGATGTGGGGCCTCTGGATGGTCTTTGGAATGTCAGCTGTCCCACGTGCTGGTGGACACTTCTCTGAGGGAGAGCTGAATTCCTGGCTGGTGTCTGAAGGCCATACGTGCAGTAACTCAGGAGGTGGGGGGTTTCCCCCTTCCTTCCCCTTCAGCTAGTTTTTGTCTCACTTTTAGTTGACGTCAGAGGAAGTTGTGGCAAAGCTGAACGTCACTTTTGAGGGTTGAACCCTGGTGGCTATTGCTGCAGTTGTTGAATGGAGATATTAGCCTGAGCTGTTGTACTGGGCTTGAGGAGCTCAGACGTAAAGGCAAAGCACCACACAGAATACTTGTTTTGCCAAATCATTCTTTACCGCGATAAAGAGGAAGCTGTGGGGTCCAGTGGCCAGAACAGGGCCTGAAAATTCCATTAGGCCAAGGAATTTATTTTTTCTTTCACCCACCAGATACGAGTACCACTGGGCAGACGGTACCAACATAAAGAAGCCAATTAAGTGCTCAGCTCCCAAGTACATTGATTACTTGATGACGTGGGTTCAGGATCAGCTGGATGACGAAACCCTCTTCCCTTCCAAGATCGGTAATTGCAGTGGCACAACACGACGTGCCTTGTGTCCAGGACCAAGCCACAGTGCCACCAGAAAGTCTTAGTGATTTCTATTCAAGTCTTGGTGGTTTGTTTTGTTTGTTTTATAAATACTTCTGACCAAACTGAAGCTTGCCCATGCTTTTCAGGTGTCCCTTTTCCCAAGAACTTCATGTCTGTGGCCAAGACCATCCTGAAGCGACTGTTCCGTGTGTATGCCCACATTTACCACCAGCACTTCGACTCCGTCATGCGGCTGCAGGAGGAGGCACACCTCAACACCTCCTTCAAGCACTTTATCTTCTTCGTGCAGGTGAGGTGCACAACAGCTGCTCAGCTGCCTCTACTGGGGTTTTTTGTTCCCATTTGCTTTTAAAGGGAGTTGGAATTTAGAAGCCTGCTTTATTTCTGAAGGTCTACAACTGTAGGGGAGGTAGCTCAGCTCTTACCCTCCATACATGAACTGTTTGGGGTTTACTTATGCAAGCTGGCTGTAAATGCTTGAATTCCCCTCTCCCTCTACTTTTATTCATTAGCAAAGGGACCAGATTTTAAAGAGAATCTGAGAGGGGAAGGGGTTATAATTCAGTAACTCATTCTGAGATAGCAACAGCAGCTTTTCTCCCCTTGCCCATTTTTTCAGTATCTTGTGACTGTGTGGCAGCCCATTGCACTCCTCAGCCACACAACTAAGTTCAGTTTGCTTGAAATGCTTGAATTTCTCCAGAGAAACAGCTGAGGTGGCTGCAGCTGTATGCATGTTGGCTGGACCTGGAGCTTTATTTCCTAGGGTTCTTTCAGCAGCGTGTTCAGTTCTGCTGTTCCTTTTTTCCTACCAGGAATTCAACTTGATCGACAGGCGGGAATTGGCTCCGCTGCAGGAACTCATTGAGAAGCTGGGTTCCAAAGACAGATAAACTTTCCCTGGGAGGATCCAATCAACTTCCAGTCGTGGCCACTCCTTTCTGCTTTGTCCACAGCCATTCTCCCCTTCACCCTCAGCGACACAAGCCCCAAAGAGCCGGATGATGTGCTGGCTGGCGCTGTGTCACTCAGTGTTGCAGACCCTTGGCAAAACAGTGTTTGTACTGTGCTGCAGCAGCCTGCGTCACCTTCTAACTGGTGGCTGAGCTGTGACGCCTGGCACTGTTTTGTCCACTTTTTTTTTCTAAAACTACATACTCAAGTCTGGCAAGAATTGCAGTGGAGAACTCAGACGCACAGCTTGCAGCAGGTTGTTTTGTTTTGTGCAGGCAAAGTTCCAGAATGCCACACTGCTGTTTTCAGTGCTGGAGCAAAGCTTTCCTCAGATCCCACGTGGCCATCCTGGGGCTGCGTCCAGCGTGTGCTTCCCATGGGGGAAGGGCAACAGAGGCACAGCTTATTTTTGGAAGTGCTTTTTTTGGATTTAGATGCACTTTGGCCAAGAGCCTTAAGCTCCCCTCATGGCAACAGTGATGGGGAAGGAAAAAAAAGTGCCTGGCAAGGGGAGCCTGCCCCTTGGGGTGCAGAGCAGCTTTTCTGCCCCAGTTGGGGGAGGGGGGAGGGCAGGGGGAGGGGCAGGGACCATGTTGGCAAGGCAATAAAGTTTCTTCTTCCTGCTCTCCTTTCTAATGGCTGTCCTGTCTGTGTGCCCCCCTGCTGCCTGCACTCTAGGTGCATTGTTCTCTTTGCAGAGCTCCCCTTGGGTGAAGGCTGTAGCAGCACTGTCCCTTCCCATCCCCCCCAGCGTGGTCCAGGAGCCTCCTCATGCAGCTACACATTTATTGGGCAGGTCACCCCCTGCAGCCCGCCCCCCCTCCGCCCCCTCCTGCAGCGCTCAGCTCCATCAGGATTTGGGCACGGAGGTGAAGATGCGCAGCCCATGCATGCTCTTGATCTCCTCGCTCAGCGCCTGCAACAGATGAACATACGGGCTGTGTTCTGCTGCAACACAGAGGTGGGTGCCTTGAAAAGCAGGGCTCCCCATTCAGGGCTGTGCAGCCCTGCTCTGCGTGCTCTCACCTGATTCACCATCTGGTGCTGCTGCACCGTCCGCTTCTCCCGGAACTCCTCCGATTCGATGTGGATTTCATACATGGCCCCGCAGCCACCTGCAAGGAGCACGGCCCCACTCAGCACCACAGAACGGCTGGGGTTGGAAGGGACCTCAAGGATCACGAAGCTCCAATCCCTGCCACACGCAGGGCCACCAACCTCCACATTTCGTTCCAGCCCAGGGCCCCATCCAACCTGGCCTTGAACACCTCCAGGGATGGACAGGGCATCCACAGCCTCTCTGGCAGCTGTTCCAGCGCCTCACCACTCTCACAGCAAACAACTTCCCTCTGACATCCAACTGAAATCTGCCCTCCCTCAATTTCAAACCATTTCCCCTTGTCCTGCTGTTTTCTACCCTTTCCGAGGTAGAAACCCCCCTGTTCGTAGGCCGTTCGGGATGGTAGAAGCCTTTTCCTTACCCGAGATGTCCACCACGCGGATGGCGGAGGCGCGGGGGAATTTCTCGCGCAGGACGCGGCTCACGCGCTCCTCCCCGTCCGCCCCCGCGGAGAAACCGCGCCAGGCGCCGCGCGGCACGAGGAGCTGCGGGCACAGAGACGCGGAACGCTCCGGGGGCTGAAGGGGGGATGGGGAGGGAGGGGGGAGTTGCAGCTGGGCCCGCGCGGGGCCTCAACGCTGCCGGAGCGGGGAGGAAGGGCCGGAGAAGGCCCGAAGGCCTCGGGGTCGTTCGGTCACTCACCGGCCCGCGGCTCCGCAGCCCCGCCGCGGCCATCGTGGGCGGCGCGCGCGCCCGCTGCCGGAGGAGAGCGTAGAGGTGACCGCCGCCCGCCAATCGCCGAGCGCCACGTCATAAGGCCGCGCCGCGGCACAGCGCCCCCTGCCGGCCCGGAGGTCTCAAGAGAGGCCTAGTAGACAACCGCCCCCCCAACCCCCCAACCCGCCCCACCCCGCCCCCACCCACCCCAAATCCCCACAGCGCACAGCGGCCTCACCTCCCCTCCAGCGCTGCCCCGTCCCACCGCTCCCCCCCGGGCCTC